CCATCTGTGTGTGTGTGTGTGTGTGTGTGTGTGTGTGTATATATATATATATATAGTTTTTTTAATATAAAATATTAATATTATATTATATACATAATTTGTATACAAATAAGTATGGAAGGCTGTTTGTGCCATTTTATTGTTGTTGAATGTAGTTTTCTACTTATCATCTTGCACAGATATTTCTCCTAAAATTCTTTGGGAGAAATAAAAAGAAACAAATCTAATGTTATTACAGTAATATAAAATGAAGGTAGATCCATGTGGCTTTTGAAGAATTTGATTCAATGTTTCAGACTGAGATCTTTGACTTCTGATGGCAGACATTGGTATTTTGGCAGTTCTGAGCACAGTTTGAGATTCATTGAGTTTACTGAGGTATTCCGTATTATTTCACGAATGTCACCTTTGAAGTTGCTAAACAACAGCAGATCATAGATACTCTTTTAAAGTTTGTGTAATGAAATCATATGGTCTTGTCACGCTCAGTTTGTAATGGAGTTCACATTTCCATGTCAGAAAGGTCTTATTTAAGACTTCCTGCTGTTCAGCGGTAAACCAGCAACCATACAAATAACAAACAATTTCTTGAAATCTAAGATATGGATATGACATCATCTTTCCTGCAGTTTATTTATCTTTGAGCATTGAATCTGAATGTTGTGCTAATGGCGGGTGGGTTTTGGGCCGTTTTTTTATGGGCCTCATAGGGGAGTCACTTCAAGAGCACATCAAGTTTGTTTGGTTTCCCAGCAGGTTTCTGCCATTGACCTTCATCAAAGTACATGCACTGACCCACAAGAGGGCAATGTCTGTCTAGCAAAGATTTATTATTGCACTGAACCACTAGAGGTGCTGTTTTAAGCATTCATTAGCCTGCTTGTCCAGCAGTCAGTCTTATATTAGAAGAAGACATCAGTGAACCAGACCTCAGTCGGTCCAGTGTGTCATAATGTTGTGATATAATGTCGTCTATGCGCACAGTTCCAACAGACCACACCTGTTTAGGTCTATATCTGATGATTCTGATTGTTTTAGTAAATCTTTGAGGAAAAGTAGTTTGAACATTTAAAGGTATATATTTCAATTTGTTCAATTCAAAATCTGCATGACTTTCGTTTTGCTTTGAAGCACAAAGGTATTTTGAAGAATGTTCATGCTGCTCTTTTCCTTACAATAAAAGCTCCAAAAGGGATCAAAAAACATTTGAAAAGTATCACAGTTTGAATTTAAGTCACCATTTAATTTGCTGTTTGCTGGAAATCTTCCAGTTTATGGTATTCAATTTGCAGTTTCACATGTTTAAACACAGTGTGTCACAATTGCTTTAAAACCTTGTTTTATAAGAAACAACGATAACACTTAACTAGAAGCCTAAAAGTATTTTGAAATAATTTAATTCACCTTATAACATCATATGATCTCATTAATTATTTTAACCACAGTTATAATACATTATAATGTTATTCTATAAATTGTTATACCGTTAGTAAGTATACTGCATTAGAACACATGACAAACAACAAGGATTAAAGGGGTCATATGATGCTGCTAAAAAGAACATTATTTTGTGTATTTGGTGTAATGAAATGCGTTTATGCGGTTTAAGGTTCAAACAACACATTATTTTCCACATACTGTACATTATTGTTTCTCCTCTATGCCCCGCCTTTCTGAAACGCGTCGATTTTTACAAAACTAATCGGTCTGAAAAGCGAGGTGTGCTCTGATTAGCCAGCTATCCAGTGCGTTATGATTGGCCGAATACCTCAAGCATGTGACGGAAATGTTACGCCCCTACAATACTGTGATGCCGTCTCCCGGCACGATGAGACAAAACTAATAAAACCCATTACAAATGAGGCATTTGTTGCATCCAGTG